GTTTTTGCAATAGTAATCCCTTACTTTACTCGTTACCTGAAAAAAGTAATCAGATTACAGTAACGCGTTACTGCCCATCTCTGGTTGTGACAGCACTGGATGAAGATCTGTTAATCACTTGGGGCAGATTGTCTTGTTGTTCTCTGCAAAAAAAATGCTGAGGAAAATTCAAGACATGCTTTCAGTACATCTACCTGCAAGATAGACATTATGTTCCTCCATAATTTAGCAGAAAAATGATTGAAGCAGAAGTACAGTATAATGCAGTATAATGGTTAACACCTTTGGGTCCCTGAAGTGTTGCTACTGGCAACTCAGTATGATGGAAATAGAAGCTATAAATGTTTTAGATTTTCAAGGATGCAGCGTTATGAAATGGCAATTTAGATAAAAGGTTTTCAAAAAGAGAAAGTTCTTGCAAAAAAGTAAAAATGTTGTGTTTTTCTGGTTGTGTAGTTGATGTTGAATAGTACTTTTTTAAAAATTCAATTCAGTGTAATTTATTTTACGACAAATCACAACAACAGCTGCCTCAAGGTACTTTATATTGTAATTTAAAGACCCTACAATAATAGAGAGACAACCCCCTATGAGCAAGCCCTTGGTGACAGTGGAGTGGAAAAACTCTCATTTAACTGGAAGAAACCTCCAGAAGAACCAGGCTCAGGGAGGGGCGGCCATCTGCCCCCACAGGCTGTGAGTGATGGGAGGAAGACAAGACACATTGGGGAAAAAACAGAGATAATAACAGAGAAAATACTATTATAATAACTAATGATTAAATATTGAGTGGTGTATAAACACATAGTGACAGCTAATTTGCTCCATTTTAAATGACTATGGATCTAATCAAATAAGAAACTGCTCCTCTTAAAAAGCAAAATCCATACCAGTTTGTGTTTCTGTTTATGGAGATTCAGCTTTCCACCTTGTGTGGTTGTAGCAGCCCGAGTCAATGGGTGTGAATGTGCTACAGTACTGTATGCCTCTACAAGGAGAAGTCTCTTTTACTGTATATAACGGACTGAGAGCCAATGCTATCACTTTTTTGAGATGACAAAAGTGTGAAAAAAAGCATGCCTTGTTTCAGTTCCAACATATCAGGACAGAAAAAAAAGGTCTTAAAATTAATTATATATACCATATTATCATTATGTACAAAACTTACGCCAAAATGCATAAATGTGAAAAACTAACTACACCCTTACTGCTTCCACGGGAACAAAGAGAGTTAGTAGGAGCCAGGAGCTACTAAATAAATGGTAAATGGCCTGTATTTATATAGTGCTTTACTTTGTCCCTATGGACCCCAAAGCGCTTTACACTACATTCAGTCATTGTTAAGGGAAAATTGTACTTAGTAGTCAGTATAAACTTTTAATGATATAAGTTTACATGTGATAGAATACTGCATGATGACCTTTTCCCTGCTTAGAACTGATTGTCCTTTTCATTGTTCAGAACTGATTGTTCT